TATGACCCGTCCACCACTGCTCTCTGGGTGCGCCCCATCAGCCAGTTTTTTATCCATCCAACTGTGTAGGCATCAATGCCACAGTCACTTAATTTATTAATGAGAATGGGGTGAGAGACAGTGTCAAAGGCCTTCTTAAAGTCTAGAAAGACTACATCCACGGCGACCCCAGCATCCAAGGATTTAGTTACTTGATCATAAAAGGTAATCAGGTTGGTCAGGCAGGACCTGCCTTTGATGAACCCATGCTGACTGCCCCTGAGCATGATCTCCCCTGCTGGCCCCCCACAGATATGCTCCTTGATGATTTTCTCCACGATCTTCCAGAATGATTTTCTCCAAGATCTTCCAGAGGACTGAGGTGAGGCTTACGGGCCTATAGTTACTTGGGTCCCCCTTCCTCCCCTTCTTAAAAATGGGGACCACATTAGCTAGTTTCCAATCCCCTGGCACCTGGCCAGATGACCACGAATGCTCATACAGCTGGGCCAAGGGCTCCGCAATGACCCCTAGCCTAAGTTCCATCTCTGTCTCAGCCTTCCTAATAGCCCTCCTATACTCCCAGGCAAAGGAGGAGTACTCCTCCTTGGTGATAGCCCCACCCTTCCACTGGTTGTACGCCACCCTTTTAGTCCTCAGGCATTGCTGAATGCTCTTGCTGAGCCATGGGGGTGTCTGAGCACTCTTACCCCCCTTGCTTCTCTCAGGGACTGTTATCCTTTGGGCCTGGAGGATCGCCCCCTTAAGGTACGACCATCCCTCATGGACTCCCATCTCCTATACCTTCTAAGCCGTCAGTGCTTCCCCCACTAATCTCTGAAGCTCTTTGAAGTTGGCCCTTCTGAAGTCAAGGGCTTTAGTCCAACTAGAGGTGCACCGATATATTAGTTGCATGTCGATCGGCACCAATAAAAGGAAAATTAACATTATTGGCTTTTTTGACCAGTATAGCCAAGAATGTTACCAATAAAAACAATATGTCTTCTGGCCGTTGCCCCTGGATGCCACATGCATGCATACAGCCACACACAGAAATGCAGCCCAGTAGTGTGGAGAGCAGTGCCCTGCAGGTAAGTCTGTGGAGGGGAAGGGGCATGGGGAGGGGCAGATTGAGGCCCCCACAGCAAGGGAGGGAGTGGGGCAGGGGCTGGGGGCACTGCCTAGCCAGGGCAGAGAGTGGGACCCAGGGCTGGGGCAGGGAGCAGGATGGAGCCATGGGCAGCTCATCCAGGGGGCGCAGGGGGGAGGAGGGTGGCTTTCTGGTGTTGCACAGAACCCCTCTGTGGGAAGCATGGGGGGGGGCATGTGTCCCCCCAGATTTGTGTGCAGGGTGGATGAGTGCTGTCTGCTGTGTGCTTGGGGCTCTCTGCTCTGCTGCCTTTCCCTCGGGAGCCCCATGCTGGCTGTGTGTCTCCTGCCCATCCGGCAGCGGTGGGGGTGGTGAGTTATGCCTCCCGCTTTTGGGCGGGCAGAGGATGCATAGCCACCATGGGGCTCCCAAGGGAAAGGCAGCAGGGCGAAGAGCTCCAAGCCCATAGCAGGCAGCCCACATCTGCCCTCGCCCCCTCAGTGCTTGAACTAAGGCTCACTTGACAAGCTTTA